AATATATAAAACTTATCGTAAAAGCTATAAGCCACATAAACACCACTGTCTAGAGTGTAGTGTTTATGTTTCCCCTGCTCATAAAACACAAAACACAGTTTTTTAAGTAAGTTTAGTTCTGTTTTTTAACTAAAACTGTAGTATTATTTTGATGATTTATCAAAATAATACTCTCATTTTAGTTAAAAAATAATAATGCTAAAACTATTTACGAAACTGAATATAAGTTTTGTGTGTGTCATATTTATTATTGTAGTTAACGAGGTTGTGAGGGATGGGTAGTTAAAGACAATTGTTTTGGTTTTTCTGGGCGATGATTCGGCTGAGTGGACTCGGGCGATGAGAGTCCAACTCAGTGGCCAGTGAGCCTGAGCCGTGATAATTAATTAGCATGTAATTGGAATTTGTGAATTTGATTAATTAAGATCTTCTCCGGCCATGGCCACTTTATCTCTTCCGGTTTCTGTTTGATTAATTTACGTTTTGTTAACTGTGAAAGATAAAGTAATTTTAGGTTTACCTGATGATGTGATATAGATATGTATATAAGAAGGAACATGATTGGTTTTGTGAAAACTGAAAATAATGGTAATTAATGGTATTATTAGGGCTTGCCGATAATGAGACAAAGAACACCGTTTTCTTTCAAAAGTGTTTGAAGGTCACTTTGATTGGTTGGTTCTTGTGCAAATGCTGAGAATCACATAAGTTCTTCAACTTGTCTTTTTGAAATGGGGACCCTATATGTTCAGGGAAAGAAAATAACAACTACTTTATATATTTATCTACATATTATATATAAATAATATACGATCTTATTAATATTATTTTCTAACATCGTAATGAAAATTTTGTATCAAGATTCCATGGTCACCGAGGTCAAAATCACCAGAGTTAACGTTTAGGGTATTTTGTACTTACCTCTTTTTTAACAAAAGTAATTTTCTCCATTTTATTTTATCTATTAGTTCAGGTTTTCCTAAATATAATTAAACAAAAATAAATAAGTTAATGAGTACAAAACTTTTCCTAAAATGTTTTTATACTTTCTTTTACGGATAATTAAAAATACTAAATTCTCCGTTTACCTAATTGTTTGTAATCTGCCATGCATCGATTATCGTTCAGTAATGTTTTTCTTGTCTATTTGATTTATGACGAATAGTGAAATAGTTTACAGTAGTATGATATTTATTTAAAAATTATAATAATAATTGAAATAAATAAATAAAAATTCATTAAAAAAAACACACAAAAAACATTTAAACCACACGTCGAATAAAACGAAAGAAATTATTAATCAACTGTTTTTGTTTGGCTTTGCGTCATTTATGTATGTTTTATAACGAAATTGTGGGAAGTAAAGGAAAAAGATACCCAAAATTGACTCGCATCTATGCCTGGGAATGCGAAACTAAACAGGCACTAAAATATATAAAAAGAAAATTATTAGCAAGTATAAACATTACGAAAACTCTCACTGTCTCCCTCTCACACTCACTCTACGTCACACATAGCTGATTCCTTTTTTCGATTCTGAATTTTAATAGTGATTTGATCATCATAATTTTCTACATATTTGTCGTTTACCGACTAATAAAAAAAATCATATTAAAAATAATACAGTTAACATCAACGAACGATATCTAATATCTCAGGAAATGATTAGGTGCATTAGAGATAAAAAAATATCATGTTTACATTATATAAGATCGCAATAAATAATATGTAGAAAGTAATAATAATTGATATAGTTGTTTTGTTAATTGCTTTGAAGTTGATTCTGACATAATTTGAAGTGTGTTTAAGAATAAGAAAACATGAAGAAGAGGTTGTCTATCACATAATTATAATTTTAGAAAAGGGATAGGAAGAATGAGTGGTGCAGTTGAAGCAGTGCAATAATTAACCTAAAATTTGCCCTAAATCTAAAATCAAGAATGGCGTCATTCCATAATGATAATAAGTGTTAAATTGACAAAACATGATATCCAAATATCTTATTTGATGAACAAAAATTTGTGGAGAATGACAAATGGGCCCTCAGAGAGAGAGAGAAGAACGAAAAGGTGATGGATGATTGGAAGAAGTTGGGTTAGGTCCAAGAGTGGGAGTGAACATTGAGAGGTTCTTTTTCATGAAAAAGAAAGGAGTATTTTATCTTGGGCTCACAAGCCCCCTAGCTTTTGGACCATACATTCTGCGCCTTCATTATTACTTTCGGACTTCAACTTTTAACAAACTTTTTTTTTTAATTTCTCAAAAAAAAAATCTTTTTTAAATCAACTGATTTTCTTCCCATACTAAATTTAGTAAACAAGTATTAGATATATTATTCATAAATCAAACTTTCTTCCTGTATTTGAGTGGTTTCTTTTTCTCGTACTCCCCACTAAAAGGAAAAAAAAAATACTATTAGAGCTTCAAAATACATTTAAATAAATAATCTAGATTTTATTTTTAATTATTTTGGTTTGATGATTCAGTAATAACTTATAATAAAATTTAAAAACACATTAAATAATATTTTTAAAATAATCTAAAATATATTTCAAATGATTGATCCCTCTAAACGGTTTAATTTTTAAATTTCCCAGTGGAATATTATAGAATATATTTTAAGTGGTTTTGAAACTCTGATTTTGTAATTTAATTACATTGTATTTCAAACAGATCAAGAGTTTTTTTCCCCATGTTTTTGAAATGGGTAATTCAAAATTTTAAAATATTCTTTTTATTATTCAAATTGAAATGTGTGAAATTAATTTATGGAAATGCAGAAGACAATTACCTCGGTGGATACTTGGAAGCAACTAATGTCTTAGAATTGATCAGTAGAAGAAAAGGATAAACATTTTTTTTTTTTTGTTATTATTGTTAATTAGAAAACTAAGATTATATCAGCTTTGAAACCCTGTTCAAGGAACGCCTTAGGTACTAAATAATAGACAACTTAACTTTCTCATCCATTATTTTCAGTTAAACTCGTTTCATATTTGCAAATAAAACTTTATAACTGTTTTTTTAATATTATTTATAGATAACGGACGTTTTATGTATTCATGATTGGGGTTGATTTGTCATGTACAAGTTTTCTAAATTAGAACAGTGTCGTGTTACAAAAATGATTTCAATAATTTTTTGTATTGTTTATTTTTTTTAAATAGTGTTTTTTTTTTGGAAAAATTATATATCATTTAGTCGGGAGTGAGAGTAGCTGAAATAACTTACTTAGGGTCATATTACGATAGTATTAGAGTTCTTAGTTTGATTAATAGATCGTGGATTAATCTTAATTCATCTTTAATTTTTCTTTTGTATTTGCTGACAAAATGAATGTGTTAAAAAAAAATAACACTCCTCCAAACAACTTTAGGTAGGTCAAGGTAAAGAACAAAGTGAACTGGACCCCTTTCGATATTTTTTAGTGTTTTTAGATTAATTAACACTCGTTTCTAAATAATTTACATTAATTATAAATTGATTTTTTAAAATATTTTTTACTAGTTACAATTTAATTTAATTGAAAAGTAAGAGTATGATTAACTTGTCTAATTAGGTTTATTTAATATAATTTGAATTTAACCTGACTTTATATTGTTTGACATGGGTTTGATGTGGATTGTCTTTGACTTAGTTAAAATTATTATGGTTTGATACATTATTGATTTAACTAAATTCAAAGTGAATCTAACCTGACTTGATCTCAAATGTTTTTATTATTATCCAGCTCGACTTGACCTGGTTTGGAGTCAACTAGACCAAGAGTATGGTAGACCGACTTTACTCAATGTAACATTGACACAAATACATTGAGTTGACATGGACCTGAATTTACTTGATTCAATATGGTTATAACATGACTTGAGCTTGACATTGACTCGACTTAATCAACTCAAGGTAGATCCAACTACACTTAACCTGAGGAAAGTCAAACTCAATTAAACCCAAATTGGACAAAAAACAAGATGAACAAAGTTAGATCCAACTTAACTTGAATTGACATGGGTTTAATGTAGTTATACCTTGATTCAATCCAATACAAGTCTAACTTTACTCAACTTGACACAAACCTAAATGAAGTTGATCGAATATGAGTCAAACTCAACTTAGCCTAAAGTCAACTTACTTAACTCGATAGGCGTGCGTGAATACAATCAACACAAGTTGTGGTGATCCGACTTATAAAGACTTTGACCCGACATGACTATGTCAAACATGGCTGGACATGACTCAATTCAACTAAGCACAATATGGACCCTATTAACATTGACCTAACTTGAACCTAATTCGACCAATCTATTTTAGTTGCTCCTGATTTAGTCTTGTCCATATTGACTTGTGATCACATTGAATAACCATGGTCTGTACTCGACTCAACTTGATCAATGTGTGACTTGACTTGGCCAACATGGTTTTCACCAAATTTGGCTCAACATAAATCACGTGAGTCTACTTAACTTATTCAAAACTAGTCTTAGTTTGATCTAAACCCAGTTTGATCTAATTTGTTCTGACATTTAATCAACACAATTCAACATAATTTAGTTTATATCTGATTTGACTTGACGTAAATATAATCTGTTTCAACTTAATTTAAATTTAACCTTGCCTGTATTCATGTTGACATCTTTAAGTTAATTTTACCTTAATTTAACTTGACTTTACATATAATAAACTTTTCATGTTGGTATATTTTTCTAATATTTCTTTTATTTTTTATTCTCAGATGATTTTTTACTTAAAAATTTGACTCTTGGTCTTATATATAATATTTTTGTTGACATTTTAATTTTATAGATATTTTCTTATATAGTTTTCTTAGTCTAGAATTCATGTGAAGTGTACATGGTCTATTATAAACTATACATTAATTTTAGTTTTTATTCTATTTTATAATTTAAATATCCATAATATCAAGATTATATTTTGTTCCCAATTTACCAAATCATGATAGAATAAATTGTTTATGATTTAAATATCGATAATATCAAGATTATTTTTTGTTCCTAATTTACCAAAAACATGGAAGAATAAATTGTTTTTTAACTACGTAAAAATAAAGATACTTCTTACACCCAGTAAAAAAAAAAATTAAATAAAGTACCTTACTCTTGAAAAGGAAATTTTAAAAGGAGTAAAACAGGAGGAGGACGAAAGGATATTGTCAGCGCTATGCATTTTGATTCGTGAAGAAAGATCAGCATACAAGGGGAAGAAAAGAAGAAAATAAGAGAAACAGGAAGGAGTAAAACCCAGGAAATTTTCCCGTTCCAGTGGGATTAAACAAATCCGTAAACACAGAACCAACAAAACAAAGAAGACGGAAACACAGTGTCGTACGAGCTCGCTCTGTGCTTTTCTCTTCCTCTGCGGCACACTCATTTCGCTCCAAAAGTTCTTCGCCCATCGCAGCATCGACGCATTTCTCCTCTTCCATACGTGCGTTTCTCACCTCTAATTTCGTTACTTCTTCCTTCTTTTTATTGTTAGGTACAAGTTGCTTTAAATTGTTAGGGTTCTCCACAATGCACCTTCTCTTGTCAATTCTTAATCATTATTCATCGCGCTGAAATCATAACAGATCAATCGCAATTCTGGTGTTGCTTGAATTTGATAACTAGCTCCTGGCTTTCTGAACTAATTTCCTTAGCATTGCAATTGGGGTTCAGGCTGCGTTGTGGTCCTGTTGGACGTTGAGAGTTGTAGCTTGTGGGAATTGTTATGCTTTGGAGTGTTTGTGATTAGAGGAAGGGTGATCAAAGGTTATTTCCTTAATTGTCGGAGTTTATTGGGGGTTATTGTATAATGCTTAATCTCTCATTGGGAGAAAGGATAACCGTGTATGCTTTCCGGTGAAGGGGTGGGGAGAGGGAGCTGAGAATACCAGTGCATTGACTTTATTAATTAAAATAACCAAATGTGCGTCCACTGTGTACACAATAATGTAATCTTATTAGTGGCTATAATCGGATAAGTGGTTTGGTCTAACGTAGTTATATTTTGTCAGTCGCATATTTTCTCACAGAATGATAAAATTATAAAAGATCTTGTGTAGCATGTAAGTTATCGTGATTGTATCCTCTATTCCTTTTTTCTATCCATAGTTTAGTTATTTTTTTTATAAGCTTGATGAATGTTAATATGACTGGAGATTAACTGGGTTTTTTTGGAAACTTTGAAATTTTGGGAACGTAAAAATTCACCTTTTTGTTAATTATTGTTTTAGTGTTTTGGTTTCATTGTATTTTTCAATAAAAATCAGTTTTTGCTTTGAAATAGATTTTTTCTGCATTCATCTTTTAGATGTGACTCGAGTTGGAAGATGTATGCATATACCCTATACGCCGTCATTTGTGTTTATTACTGTTTTTCCTTTTCTCCAGGGTCTGTAGTCATTCTAAAATCCGTCTTATGGATATTTCCTCTTACACATATACTTTTGGATGTCTCTGAGGATCTCAGCCCAAGAGTAATCTTTAGCCATATTGTTTGTTTAAGATGCCTTTAGGCTCAAATTCACAGTCAGCCGAAGTTTGCCTTGCCATGAATCAGAATGCACTTTCTTCCTCTGACAACCATGGAAGGGCCTTAAAACCCGTCGAGGAGGATAAAGAAGAAGGGGAGGAGGAGGAAGATGAGGATGCAGATTTTAACCCTTTTCTAAAGGAAAATCTTTCACACGAGGCTTCTTCAAGTTTGAGCTCTGAAGTCGATGGTTTGGATGGTAATGTGATCACTAGTAAGCCATCTGTAGGTTCAGAGTTATCAAAGGTGACAACTAAGGAGCAAACCTGTTCTGCTATATATAATGAACATGGCGAGGAGGAAGTTGTTTTACAACCTTCTGGTATGATCTCTTTGTCAGAGATTAATCAAGTGAAGCACAATGACCTAACCAGTGTGGCTATTGGCAATGGTTCAAGGACAGGAGAACTAAGTGACAAAACAAATTCTCGAAGTCCTGTAATAGATGTAGACAATGAGGATGCTATCTGTATGCGCACCAGAGCTCGTTATTCACTTGCAAGTTTTACACTTGATGAGCTTGAGACTTTTCTTCAAGAAACTGATGACGATGATGATCTCCAAAATGCTGATGATGAAGAAGAGTATAAAAAATTTTTAGCAGCTGTTTTACAGGGTGGGGATGATGGTTTTTCAACTCATGAAAATGAAAATCTTGACGATGATGAGGATAACGATGCAGACTTCGAGATAGAACTGGAGGAGTTATTGGAAAGTGATGTTGAAGACAACTCAATGGTAAAAACCCGAAAGGAGTCTGATCGAGCTGGACGACGACCTGAGACTAGGCAAAATAAGCGTCAAAAGGTGTCTGCACAATGTGAGAAGAAAACATTAGGAGAAGTGAAGAGGCCACTCCGTCCCATTTTGCCTAATTGGCTGAATGGAACTCTAGCTTCAGGAAAAGGTTTGGTTCCTGAGGCTTCTCTGAGCTTTCAGTCTTCTGCTTCAGGAAATGGTCTTGTCAATGGGTTCACTTCCATGCAGATTGGTCAGTTGCACTGTTTGATACACGAGCATGTACAACTTCTTATTCAGGTGTTCTCTTTGTCAGTTCTTGAACCTTCCCAAAAACAGGTTGCTTCTCAGGTTCAAGGTTTGCTTGTTGAGATCCTTCACAAACGTGATGAAATATTAGCTTCAAAAAGAGTTGCATATCCCACTGTTTGCTTTTCTCCATCTTTTTCTTGCTCATCTGTGTCTGAAGGAGGCTCAAAGTTTGTCCAGGTCCAGTCCAATACAGAAGAATATGGTCCTCCACAAGATGCACATAATGTTTTGTGTTCTCAATCAATTCAGAAATCCTCTGAAGGTTTGAACTTGCAAAGCTGTTTCCAACCTGCTGAGAGTTCTTTCTGGATTCCCTCTGTAAGAGGCCCTGTAAAATCTATTTTGGATGTTTCTCCTCTTCATTTAGTAAGAAGCTACACTGATGACATTAATTCTGGTAGGTCATTTTAAAGACTTCAAGTTTTCTTCTGGTTATTTCATTTTGTGCTGGTTTGTAAAAATAAATTCTGCATACTCAGGAATTGGTTTAAAATTTCTTTTACAGCTGCCCAAGAGTTTCGAAAGAGATACATTGAGTCTCATTCCGTTTCACCTGTTGAAAAGGAACCTCTCTTTCCTTTTTCTTCATCAGTTGCTGAAGCTAGTAGTGAAATTTCTAGTGGAACCACTGCTAGAGCAGTTAATGCAGTCTCAACTTCACCTGGTCAACAACAACCAAAGAAAACATTGGCTGCTATGCTTGTTGAAAGTACAAAAAANTTTTATAGATATTTTCTTTTATAGTTTTCTTAGTCTTGAATTCATGTGAAGTGTACATGGTCTATTATAAACTATACATTAATTTTAGTTTTTATTCTATTTTATAATTTAAATATCCATAATATCAAGATTATATTTTGTTCCCAATTTACCAAATCATGATAGAATAAATTGTTTATGATTTAAATATCGATAATATCAAGATTATTTTTTGTTCCTAATTTACCAAAAACATGGAAGAATAAATTGTTTTTTAACTACGTAAAAATAAAGATACTTCTTACACCCAGTAAAAAAAAAAATTAAATAAAGTACCTTACTCTTGAAAAGGAAATTTTAAAAGGAGTAAAACAGGAGGAGGACGAAAGGATATTGTCAGCGCTATGCATTTTGATTCGTGAAGAAAGATCAGCATACAAGGGGAAGAAAAGAAGAAAATAAGAGAAACAGGAAGGAGTAAAACCCAGGAAATTTTCCCGTTCCAGTGGGATTAAACAAAACCGTAAACACAGAACCAACAAAACAAAGAAGACGGAAACACAGTGTCGTACGAGCTCGCTCTGTGCTTTTCTCTTCCTCTGCGGCACACTCATTTCGCTCCAAAAGTTCTTCGCCCATCGCAGCATCGACGCATTTCTCCTCTTCCATACGTGCGTTTCTCACCTCTAATTTCGTTACTTCTTCCTTCTTTTTATTGTTAGGTACAAGTTGCTTTAAATTGTTAGGGTTCTCCACAATGCACCTTCTCTTGTCAATTCTTAATCATTATTCATCGCGCTGAAATCATAACAGATCAATCGCAATTCTGGTGTTGCTTGAATTTGATAACTAGCTCCTGGCTTTCTGAACTAATTTCCTTAGCATTGCAATTGGGGTTCAGGCTGCGTTGTGGTCCTGTTGGACGTTGAGAGTTGTAGCTTGTGGGAATTGTTATGCTTTGGAGTGTTTGTGATTAGAGGAAGGGTGATCAAAGGTTATTTCCTTAATTGTCGGAGTTTATTGGGGGTTATTGTATAATGCTTAATCTCTCATTGGGAGAAAGGATAACCGTGTATGCTTTCCGGTGAAGGGGTGGGGAGAGGGAGCTGAGAATACCAGTGCATTGACTTTATTAATTAAAAAAACCAAATGTGCGTCCACTGTGTACACAATAATGTAATCTTATTAGTGGCTATAATCGGATAAGTGGTTTGGTCTAACGTAGTTATATTTTGTCAGTCGCATATTTTCTCACAGAATGATAAAATTATAAAAGATCTTGTGTAGCATGTAAGTTATCGTGATTGTATCCTCTATTCCTTTTTTCTATCCATAGTTTAGTTATTTTTTTTATAAGCTTGATGAATGTTAATATGACTGGAGATTAACTGGGTTTTTTTGGAAACTTTGAAATTTTGGGAACGTAAAAATTCACCTTTTTGTTAATTATTGTTTTAGTGTTTTGGTTTCATTGTATTTTTCAATAAAAATCAGTTTTTGCTTTGAAATAGATTTTTTCTGCATTCATCTTTTAGATGTGACTCGAGTTGGAAGATGTATGCATATACCCTATACGCCGTCATTTGTGTTTATTACTGTTTTTCCTTTTCTCCAGGGTCTGTAGTCATTCTAAAATCCGTCTTATGGATATTTCCTCTTACACATATACTTTTGGATGTCTCTGAGGATCTCAGCCCAAGAGTAATCTTTAGCCATATTGTTTGTTTAAGATGCCTTTAGGCTCAAATTCACAGTCAGCCGAAGTTTGCCTTGCCATGAATCAGAATGCACTTTCTTCCTCTGACAACCATGGAAGGGCCTTAAAACCCGTCGAGGAGGATAAAGAAGAAGGGGAGGAGGAGGAAGATGAGGATGCAGATTTTAACCCTTTTCTAAAGGAAAATCTTTCACACGAGGCTTCTTCAAGTTTGAGCTCTGAAGTCGATGGTTTGGATGGTAATGTGATCACTAGTAAGCCATCTGTAGGTTCAGAGTTATCAAAGGTGACAACTAAGGAGCAAACCTGTTCTGCTATATATAATGAACATGGCGAGGAGGAAGTTGTTTTACAACCTTCTGGTATGATCTCTTTGTCAGAGATTAATCAAGTGAAGCACAATGACCTAACCAGTGTGGCTATTGGCAATGGTTCAAGGACAGGAGAACTAAGTGACAAAACAAATTCTCAAAGTCCTGTAATAGATGTAGACAATGAGGATGCTATCTGTATGCGCACCAGAGCTCGTTATTCACTTGCAAGTTTTACACTTGATGAGCTTGAGACTTTTCTTCAAGAAACTGATGACGATGATGATCTCCAAAATGCTGATGATGAAGAAGAGTATAAAAAATTTTTAGCAGCTGTTTTACAGGGTGGGGATGATGGTTTTTCAACTCATGAAAATGAAAATCTTGACGATGATGAGGATAACGATGCAGACTTCGAGATAGAACTGGAGGAGTTATTGGAAAGTGATGTTGAAGACAACTCAATGGTAAAAACCCGAAAGGAGTCTGATCGAGCTGGACGACGACCTGAGACTAGGCAAAATAAGCGTCAAAAGGTGTCTGCACAATGTGAGAAGAAAACATTAGGAGAAGTAAAGAGGCCACTCCGTCCCATTTTGCCTAATTGGCTGAATGGAACTCTAGCTTCAGGAAAAGGTTTGGTTCCTGAGGCTTCTCTGAGCTTTCAGTCTTCTGCTTCAGGAAATGGTCTTGTCAATGGGTTCACTACCATGCAGATTGGTCAGTTGCACTGTTTGATACACGAGCATGTACAACTTCTTATTCAGGTGTTCTCTTTGTCAGTTCTTGAACCTTCCCAAAAACAGGTTGCTTCTCAGGTTCAAGGTTTGCTTGTTGAGATCCTTCACAAACGTGATGAAATATTAGCTTCAAAAAGAGTTGCATATCCCACTGTTTGCTTTTCTCCATCTTTTTCTTGCTCATCTGTGTCTGAAGGAGGCTCAAAGTTTGTCCAGGTCCAGTCCAATACAGAAGAATATGGTCCTCCACAAGATGCACATAATGTTTTGTGTTCTCAATCAATTCAGAAATCCTCTGAAGGTTTGAACTTGCAAAGCTGTTTCCAACCTGCTGAGAGTTCTTTCTGGATTCCCTCTGTAAGAGGCCCTGTAAAATCTATTTTGGATGTTTCTCCTCTTCATTTAGTAAGAAGCTACACTGATGACATTAATTCTGGTAGGTCATTTTAAAGACTTCAAGTTTTCTTCTGGTTATTTCATTTTGTGCTGGTTTGTAAAAATAAATTCTGCATACTCAGGAATTGGTTTAAAATTTCTTTTACAGCTGCACAAGAGTTTCGAAAGAGATACATTGAGTCTCATTCCGTTTCACCTGTTGAAAAGGAACCTCTCTTTCCTTTTTCTTCATCAGTTGCTGAAGCTAGTAGTGAAATTTCTAGTGGAACCACTGCTAGAGCAGTTAATGCAGTCTCAACTTCACCTGGTCAACAACAACCAAAGAAAACATTGGCTGCTATGCTTGTTGAAAGTACAAAAAAACAGTCAATTGCTTTGGTGCCGAAGGAAGTTGCAAAGTTAGCTCAAAGATTTTTGGCTTTGTTCAATCCAGCATTATTCCCACATAATCCACCCCCAGCAGCAGTTGTAAATAGGATACTTTTTACTGATTCTGAGGATGAGTAAGTTGCATGCCTCTTCATTATGCCAACCAACTATATTAAATGATTTACTATGAAAAAGCTTGATTTTTATTTAACATTACCATGCACTATGTTTACATATGTCTGTGATGTAAACAGGTAGGAGGTCTAAAGTATGCAAGTAAACTTTTGAACTTTTTTGTACGACTTTAAGTATGTTCAAAGATCTTAAATCTGCATGTGTCCTTAGAAGATCTTGGAGTTTGGCTCAGGGTCTAAATTAATCCCACAAATATTCCTTGTAATGTGAAGATCGTTCAAGTCTTGTAATGATTGCAATGGCTATATTTCAAGTTGGGTTTCATGCCCAGGATTGGACATTTAGAGTGTGGACAGATTCAGGTGGCAAGATAACTTCGTCACCCATGCCTAGGAATAGAGATCTAGACTGTAAACAAACGCAGGTTACCCGATCTAGGCTATATTCTATTTTATGATTTGAGTCGATTCTAACTTAACCTCATGAAATTAGCTTGTCAAACTTTATAATACGGGCTTAGGGCATACTATCTTACAAAATTGGCTTGTTTGGAGAAAACTGCTCAATCTTACAAGGACTACATTGACTCTATTGTTAGTTGATGCGATATTGCAACACTCCTCCTCATATCTAATAAGGGGACATCTGCAATGTGATTTAAAGTGGATGGCCAACAACAATTCTCCCTCATGCTTAGGAATAGACACGTAAAGCATAAACAGATCCAAATTTCTCTAGAAAGTGGATTTTAAGTCTAATTTAACTTCACAAAACTCAGGTGAGATTTGTACCTAATAATATATTATAATTTGGACATTTTTGTAGTTAGTGTAAGATCTTCAACACTCGCTCACTTCGAGAACTAGACATTTGAGCATGATCCAATAATGGCTCGACAAAGGGTAGTACGATAGACCTAACAAATCTTGTTAGGATAGACTTTGATACTATCTTATAAAGTGAGCATTAAGCCTAATTTAATTGTACAAACTTGACTTGTAAGGTGATGCGTTCGTTGTAGCCGATGTGAAATCTCTAATACATCCCATCATGTTGAGAATCAAACATCTTGAGTTTGGAAATTGATATATATGGGTGGTCCTATAGTAGGTGACATGATATGCCAACAAATCTTGCTATGATAATCTTTGATGGATCATCTTAGAAAGTGAGCTTTATGCCTGACTAAACCTCACTAAACTAACTTATAAAGTGAGGTTTACACTTAATTATATACTATAATTTGATCATATCTTTAATTGATATTAGATCTCCAATACATGTTATCATGTAGAGGACAAAACATCTCGAGCGTAGGACTAGATTTTTGTGGGTAATCTGATAGTAAGCCGATAGTGAGTGACATAATAAATCCAACAAAATTTGCTTAGATAGATTCTAACATCATCATAGGAAGTGAACTTTCAACTTAACTCAACTTATCAAAGTAAACTTACAAGGTCAGATATGCACCCACTAATATCTAATAAATTGACTACTTTTAGTCGATGTGGGATCTCCAATAAATCTATGATAGGTTTTGATACTATCTTAGAATTTGGGTTTAGGACAGGAAACATTGATTTAGTTCTTTATGAGTTTAAATTTTAATGCTGAATGATAATATCCAGATTGAGTTAATTGATGTGGCTTGCTGGAAATAATATTAGTTAATAACCTTAGGAATTGTATGTTAATGTATCACACAGTAAAACTCATTTCTAGTAGTGTTTAGGAAGTTGCAGACAAATAACACCATTATGTTCTGTTGGTGTTTGCCTGTTTGTCTGTTTTTCTTTGTTTTATTTATTGGAGCTAAGAGTATTTTTTATTTGTCACTAATTTAAACCGTAGTTTGCTTATCAAATTGTTTTCCCTTCATAGTTGATAAATTCTGCTATTATAAAGATTTATTACCTCATTTTATTATCTCAATTGCATATGAGAAGCTTATGGAGTTAATATCTCTTAGTTTTAATTTTATTCCAGATTAATAGCCTTAGGGATAATGGAATACAATACAGATTGGAAAGCAATTCAACAACGTTTTCTTCCCTGCAAGTCTAAGCACCAGGTATATACTATTGCAGATTTCTTTTATTTTTTGGGGGTGAGGGGGCAGGCAAAAGTTTGATTGTTGAATCATCTTCATTTTATTTTTGTTGCTATCTTCTTCTTGTTAACAGTGAATAGACTCTTTTTTGGCAGATACATGTATGTGAAGTTTTTTTTGCTATGCTTTCTGTCCTTTAGGTATTTTCCCTCATATGGGAGAATTCTTATGGTTTTATATTGAGACTTTAATCAGTTATTTTTTTATTGGTCACCATACAGTGCTGTATGATAAAATGGTTTGGATATGGTTTATTGGTTAGATTAATAAAGACCCTTTAGTAGTAATTGGATGGAGATCCTCCAGCCAAAAGCACTATAGGCCTACATTGTTACTACTTGCCATTTTCTGGCTCTATGCCTCATGTTCTTTTGGCTGAAGAAATACCAAAACCAAGTGTCTGCAAATCACTACACTCAACAGTAGGATTCTCTGAAACACAGGTTAAGGAGTGACAAAAATAAAATAAAATAAATAGCAATTAAACAAGTCTGTTCCTGTCTGTTTGCAACTGTTTTGTTTTACTATAACAAACATGTTTCAAAGATAAAACCGAAACAATCTTAGTTGTCAAATTAGAGTCCTGGATACAGCTTTGGAAAGTTGGTTTTATTTTAATGATTGTTATAGGTGGCATAGTATATTATTTTACTTATTGGTTGGGCAATATGTTATTAGTTGACAGAGCAGTGTCCTGTATACACTTTCTTTTATCCCTTTAACATGGTGCTATTAGGTCGAAGACCCTACATTTACCATTTGTATTTGGGCGTGCTTATTCCACAGTATTGAATTGTTATCATGATGATGACTTGCATTCCTTCTTTTTACTAGGTTTTGAGTTAATTTGAAATGTTTTGTTGAATAGTTTAGGTCAGCAATTCCAATATGGTGATAAACGTTGTTATCTGTCTAAATATGAAATGGAATGTTCTGGTTACAGATTTTTGTGAGGCAGAAGAATCGTTGCTCTTCAAAAGCATCAGAGAATCCAATAAAGGTGAAAGTATATACATAATCTTATATATTGTGTTAGATTGTAATTAGTCATTAACTATTACTGATTTTTTAATCATTAGCTGTTACAGATTCTAGGAAATTAGGATCATTGATGCCTGATTATTATGCAAGAATTTAATGTATTTGATTATGTAAATTAGTATAAATACATACTATGTGGTCTGCATCAGAGACACAGCATCAGATAAGACAAACACAGTCTTAGAATATGGTATCATTGCTAGATAAGAGTCTGCATGGTTTGGATTTATTATATAAAACCCAAAAAACCACTTATAAACTGTATTATTAGTTTAGTTTAAAAATATGACCAATTCTGTTTTTTAACCAAAACCAGTTTGGTATTAATGAACTAGTTTCAGTTTAGATCCAGTTTATATGCATCTCCTCCAGTGCACTCCCTACTCCAATGTGTGTACTTTAAATCTTAAGACAAGTCGTGTTCTGAATAATTCATTCACATGAACTTACTCTACAAAAAGCTCTACCAAAAGGTTCTTCCCCTAATGAGACAGGTTGGTAAAGGCAACCACTAGGATGAGATTTGTGAATGTTATTTTTACGGTTCAAAATTTGACTTTTAAAAATGGTTTTTTAATTTCTAAACCAGTTTTTGTAGTTTTAAGAGCCTGGTTGCATTCTTGGAGGAAAACCAGTTCAGTAACTTCAGTTTAGTCGCTGCATTAAGTCATTGGGTCCTTATAAATGTAATTTGTGGTTCAGAAGTTTTGACATTTGAAAAGCTTTTTGAATTTATAAACTGCATTTAGTATTTAGGAACCAGATTGCATTCTAAGGGGAAAATCGGTTGTGTTAAATAACTTGTTTTAGTCATTTTGTCTTTGCAAATGTAATTTGCTAGGTTTATGGTGTGGATTGATTAAGCTAGTTTTCCCTAACACCCTCATTTTACTAAAATCCAATTATCATGCATGCGAATCTTAGTTATCTGATTCATGGTGATAATGAATTAGAAATTAATTTTTTGCATTGCAAATTGCTGTTTTGTTTCCATATAATAGTGCATTATTGGAAACATAGCTGTATCGTAACTAACCATTATTATATATTATGGATGGTTTGATCATTCAAAGTGAGACAGCAACATTTAAAGCTAAATAAGTCACCAGATACCCAAAATCAGTCCAAAGAAGTCTATGGAGTTTCAAGTCATGTGATCATCCCATCTGAGGGTTTTTGTTCCATATAATAGTGCATTATTGGAAACATAGGTGAAGAGGTCAAGATTGTTATCCTTAGATTATAATGAAGAGTTCAAATCCAATTGATCTTTTACTTACACTACACATGCTCTTATATTTCCACTCTCGATACAAAGCAGTTTCTCTTTTTCCTGTGGAAATGGGGGAAGGACGGTTTATGGAGAAGATGAGCAGAAGGGTATGATGAGGATTATTGAAAGCAAAGAGGGTTTTGGTTTCAATTTCAACCATACGATGCTGATTACAGCGCCATTCCTGTTCTGGTTTTGTTTCTTTGCTGTTCAGCCATCTTAATCAATAGCCTGAACTCTACCTCTCCATTGCTGGGCCCATATTCTTTCCACATTCCTTGCTTTAACAATTACAATGCAGTTGGAGTTCTGACCACAAACATATTGAAATAAAAAATGAAACCACTTTGTTAGGTAGAGGGAAATCAGAGGAAATGTAGTGTAAATATTAAAAAAGTCAATTGGATCCTGAACCCTAATGTGAGGTTGTGATTTTCTCCTCTCACAATGACACTAGTGGAAGTTACACCAACTATGACACTTTCAATAACTTTCAGTTAGATAAGTTATTCTCAAAGTAAACTGTAATTCTTAAAATTTATACAAATATAAACTATTTGGATGCTATGTTGTTGTTCACCTTTTCTAAAATTTAACATACATAATCAAGACAATATGTAATTGTACGGTCATATTGTAAAACAATAATTCTATAGAAAGTTATTGAGAGTGTCATAGTTGATGTAACTTTTATGGGTGTCTCTTCTCATATATATGGCGGACCAATAAAAACAAGAGGCTTTATTTCATCTTTGTTAGAATTTGGATTTTTAATCACATCAACATCACTCATTATTTTGATTTAGATCCTTATCCTAGTGGCATGATGACTTCTCAAGGGATTAGTTAACATGCTTTCTGAGCACCTTGGAGCTGTTTTCACTTTATAGCCTATATAGCTCTGTATTTATAGGCTTGTGGCACATATGGAACCGTTACTCATTAATTAATAAAATAATGGTTGATATTAGTTGCATGATTTCTCTATACAGGCTGTTCGAAGAATGAAAACCTCCCCATTGACTGCAGAGGAGATAGCATGCATTCAAGAGGTAACGTATTCAACACTTCAAGTGCATTTTGCGTTTGAAAATTTTCTGCTAGATAGCATTATTTTGACTTGATGATGTATGACAGGGACTCAAGATTTATAAATTTGATTGGATGTCAGTATGGCAGTATATTGTTCCACATAGAGATCCATCCTTGCTTCCACGCCAGTGGCGCATTGCTCTTGGCACTCAAAAGTCATACAAGATAGACGAATCAAAAAGGGAGAAGAGGAGATTGTACGAATCACAAAGAAGAAAGTTAAAGGCTGCCTCATTAGAAAGTTGGCGAGCTATATCTGATAAAGAGGTTTGTTACTGTCTGGAGCTTAGAAGCTTGTTTTGAATTTTATCACCCTGGCCTTACATGTGTTTGAGATGCCATCATAGTCTTCTTGAATGTCGCTTTTGTTTACTACCTGAATGGCTTTGGACGAGTGACAGATAAATACAGTGTTCAGTTTTCAATTTACTCTTGTGGAATCTTGTTTCACATGTTAACAGGAAATTATAAATCATTATAAATCATTGTTATATATATATATATATATATATATATATATATATATATATATATTTCTAAATTGTATATTTGCTATGTAGAAAACTTCTCACCTCTACACATGTACATTGTCGGTTTTTCTATCATAACACTGCACTATCTGGCTTTTCTATGGGTCATCGAGGAGTAGAATTCACAGGTTTTTTGGAATTTATTGCAGGATTGTGATACTGAAATTGCTGGTTCAGAGTCCATGGATTATTCAGATGTACCCTACGTGCACCAGGCATTTCTGGCAGATTGGAGGCCAGACACATCTGCGCTTGCTTATTCTGAACGCATTCCAACTACATCTGGAGAAGGAAATGTTGCTCACAATGCATTTCCTCAGCATATTCGATTTTATAGGGGTACTCAAGATTATGGTTTAAGTGGAAAAGTTCAATATCAGAATGGTAGTCAATCTGCATTTCCGTCTGTATCTTACCTACCTCAATTTTTTCACACTACATCTGATTTGAGAAATGGAATGAATGGTGCTCCTAGCACCCTTAATCCTAAGAAACCAGTTTTTAATGTCACTTCTAGCTCCAAGTACTATTGTCGGCCCTATCGGTCTCGGAGGGCACACAATGCCCACTTGGTGAAATTGGCTCCGGAGTTGCCCCCTGTAAACCTTCCTCCTTCTGTTCGTGTGGTTTCTCAAACTGCTTTTAAAGGGTTCCAGTGTGGTACGTCTAAGGTTTATCCTCCTGGAGGTGGTGTAGCTGCTTCTAGAGAAGATAATTTTGCTTCTCAAACTCGTCATGGCGAGAAATCTGAAAATGTTCATCCTGTTATAGGTGCAAAGCCTGCATTGAAAGACACTGTCACAAGTTCTCAGTCAGAAAGATCTGAAACTGTTGAAGGCAGATCTATTCAGGCAGAAAAAGGTACCTGTACCGATCTTGAGATGCATCCTCTCTTGTTCCAGGTCACTGAAGATGGCAATGTGCCTTATTATCCATTAAAATTTAGTTCTGGCACTTCTAGTTCCTTCAGCTTCTTCTCAGGAAGCCAACCACAATTAAATCTCAGTCTCTTCCATAGCTCTCAGCAACAAAGCCACATTGATTGTGCTAACAAGTCCTTAAAGTCAAAAAGTTCCATTCTAAGATCTGGAGGCATTGATTTTCATCCACTTCTACAGAAATCTGATGATGCACAATCACCTAATTTTGATTCCAATCAGCCTGAATCACTGGGCACTAGTGGTGTGTTGGCAATAGCGAATAGATCTTCTGGCCTTACTGACAAATCTAATGAACTAGATTTGGAGATTCACCTTAGTTCTGTATCTGGAAGGCAGAAATCTGTGAAAAGTAGACAGGCAAAGGCACATGATCCAGCAGGGTCCAAAAAAACTGTAGCAATTAGTGGAATAGCGAGGGAACCTCTAGAGGACAGTCCTCATTGTCAGCAGGGTGGGGAAAATGTTTCAGTAAGAAGTCGTGGGCTTGCTTCAAGTTACCCTTTGGTTGTTCCTAATGATAACATTGCCAGATATGATGTAGATAATATTGGTGATCAGTCTCATCCTGGGATAGTGATGGAGCAGGAAGAGTTAAGTGATTCTGAGGAAGATATTGAAGAACATGTAGAGTTTGAGTGTGAGGAGATGACTGATTCTGAAGGAGAGGATGGTTCTGGCTCTGAACAAGCTCATGACGTTCAAAATAAGGTATTTGGTTTAAATTCCCACTTTCCTTTTAGTTTTGTGCATGCTTGTCTCTCAGTGTGCATTTATAAATTACAAATTATATCAATAAGGAGAAGAAATACAATTTACAAATCATTACGATTTGAAATAACATATTTCTTCTCTTGTATAGTTTCCCCCGTACTTAAGTCTTCCAAATTAAAATAGAAACTAAAAGATTTGTTTTGTTTGTAAAAAAAAAAATCATTTTCAAATTTAATTACCAAGAAAATTATTCCATTTCTTATTTTTTGTACTAATTTTTGAAAATAGAAATTAGATGAAGACACGGTAGTAAATGTGAAAACAATGGAAAACATTTTTTCAAAGAATTAGGCCGGTGCATTTTTGTTTTCTAAGATATGTGGAACTAGCAATGTTATCCTTGTTCTTTAGCTTACTACTAAACTCACTATTTTCGTATTAAATTAAACTCTTTAACATGTAAAGTACTTAACTTTTTGTTTGAGTCATACATAAATTGAGAGGGCTTACTTCTATTTTAATGTTTGTACTATTCGCATTATCCTTGTCAGCCTGTCAGCTCTGCTGGCTGAGCCATATCTAAGCTCTAAATAAATAGCTAGCTGATTCATTGGTTGCACGTAATTTTTCGCTTTTCTTTTTCTGTTGCTTCTTGCTTCATGACTATCTGATGCATTGTGAGCCAGTATTTTTAGAACAGTAGAGCCTCCATGGCAGTTAGTTAGTGGTTGGTCATAGTAGTCCTTTATCATGCTACGTAAGATTCAAGACCCCAGTATTCTTCTGAAGCTGATTCATATTCTCACTCATGTTTATTTTTCTTCCCTTCTAACTCTCTTTTAACTTTGTTTCGTTAGGAGGTCTCAATTTCTTCTGAAGAAAATGTTAAGTATATGGCTTGCATGAAAAAATCAGGTGAGCCAAGGGCCAATTCTGATGCTCAAGTTGATGGCGGCCTCCTTACAAATAATACAGCTCTAAATATTACTTTGACAAATGAGGAACAAGATGACCGAAGTAGTTCTTCATGGCTAAGTTTAGACTCGTGCACGGCAAGTAATCCTGTACTTTCAAAGGCCATACTTGGACACAGTACGAGTATGATTGGGGAAGCTTCTGCTTCTAGAAACATATCAATTGGTGAAGTTGTCACAGAGGAGAGACATACCATAGACATTGTACAACAGCCAACTGTTGGTGCTCACGTGTCTACCACTCCACGAAAACCCAGGAAGCGATTTGGCAAACCAAATGCAAATTTAAATATAGGTCTGACTGTTGAAAGATCAAGCAATGATGGTAATCATGAAAATGGTTGATTTAAATATTCTGGCAAGTGGAGTTCGAAAAGGATTGACTATCGAAAGGTCAAGCCACGATGGGTTGATTGAAATGTTCTGTCAAATGGAGTGCAAATAAGACTGAATTTTGCACGTTCACGCCATGATGATAATGTGGAAGTTTGTTGATTGGTGCACCATCTGAACTAACTGAGCTTGTTTTTGTTGTTGCTTGGCATCTAATATTGTTGCTAGTGCTGGACGACAGTTAACAAGAACATAATGGGGGGATCTTCAATTTTTTCGACGTGCAGCACCAAGAATTGAGACTTTAATTTTGAACTATTGTTACTCGCAATGGTTGAAGGTATATTGTCTTTGTAAATATGTTGCTAGAGGTCATGGGCAAAATTGGCCTTGGCTCTTTTCTTATGGTGGAAGTGATGAATTGTATATGGTAATCTTATTACTGTTTACTAATTCTGATGTCCCAACAAGTAATGTTCTAGAATGTGCCCAGAGCATGTTGGCAAGCAATCCTTTGGACTTTCCTTTTCACAGCTTTCTCTTGCATTACTTTTGGTAAAAGTAAATATTATCCATTGCTTCTATCTAAAAGGAATTTCATGTTATGGTAATACTACATATTCCGAAGTCTTAACCAGAGTTTGTAACAGTGTATATTGAATATAAATCTTTAACATCAATGAAATTGCAATGGAGTCTATATACTGTATTTTATGAATAAAGCATAGAAAGGGAATACCCTTGTACTGAACAAATAATGCATACCGGTTTTTCGAACAAAAATAAAAAAGTACCTGTAAATTAGAAGCGTGTTAAATAATAATAATAATTTATTATTCTACCACACCTTTGTTTCGCTTGCGCGATGCCTTTAATTATTGACGAAAGTTATTAAGACAATTTATTTTTAAAATTAAATAAATTTGATTATACCGCTATCTTTTTTACCTAATATAATTGATGTTTCTTTTTTATCCAAATCTTTAAACATTTTATAATGAATACATGATATATTAAAAAGAGTTAATGTATGAGTGTTCAGACGAACTACTATGTTGCTGTATCAATGTTACTGATACGAGACTTGTACTTCAACCAGATTGAAAATTGTCTTCTCCAGCGAGTATAAGTTACAGTCCTAGATTTTAGAGAAAAAGAAGAAACGAAGTTAAACGGAGAAGGAATCACTACTCGAACAGCCGCATATACCTTTGCCAATTGCCACTCATCACCAGTCATACAAGCCACGTCAGAATTTGGACCCACAGAATTCCCTTACGTGGCTCTCTCCTCATTCCACCACTTCAAAATCGTTATCTCGAAACCTCATCCACTTCCTATCATCACCTCCACTCATTTCCCACTTGTAACTTCCATGGCAATTGAGAATCCTAACCCAACACAACACAAAACAACCCATTAACACAAGGAGAGGATAAGACCGCTCTCTCTCACACTCACAGAAACAAAAACAAGGAGGAAAAAAAATCTCAAAATAAAGCAACCAAACCTCAATCTCCTCAAACACAAGATCAACAAACAATGTCTTGCTCCAATCTCACAATGCTTGTCTCCTCCAAACCTTCCCTCTCCGACCCCTCCAACCTCTCCTTCCGCTCCGTTCTCAACCCTTTTCAGCTACCTTCACAAAACCCAACTTCATGCACCCCTTCACGCTCTTCCTCTACCCAGGTTCAGTGTGGTCTCCGAGAGCTCAGAACTCGCATTGATTCTGTTAAAAACACTCAGAAAATCACTGAGGCAATGAAGCTTGTGGCAGCTGCAAAAGTTAGAAGAGCTCAAGAAGCTGTGGTCAACGCAAGACCCTTCTCGGAGACCCTCGTTGAAGTCCTCTACAACATCAACGAGCAGCTCCAAACCGAGGACGTAGACATTCCTCTAACAAAGGTGAGGCCAGTGAAGAAGGTTGCACTTGTCGTGTGCACTGGCGATCGCGGCCTCTGCGGCGGCTTCAACAACGCAATCATAAAGAAAGCCGAGAGTAGAATTAAGGAGTTGAAGGAACTTGGTTTGGAATACACTGTCATCAGTGTTGGCAAAAAGGGTAACTCTTATTTCCTTCGAAGGCCTTATATACCAGTTGACAGGTTTCTAGAAGGTGGTTCACTTCCAACTGCTAAGGAAGCTCAGGCTATAGCTGATGATGTTTTCTCACTGTTCGTGAGCGAAGAGGTTGACAAAGTGGAGCTTCTGTACACTAAGTTTGTGTCATTGGTGAAGTCAGATCCCGTGATTCACACTTTGCTTCCACTGTCACCAAAAGGAGAGATTTGTGATATCAACGGTGTGTGTGTTGATGCTGCTGAAGATGAGTTCTTCAGGTTGACCACCAAGGAGGGAAAGTTGACTGTGGAGAGAGATGTTGTGAGGACTAAGACTGCTGATTACTCACCAATTTTGCAGTTTGAGCAAGACCCAGTTCAGATCCTTGATGCTTTGTTGCCTTTGTATTTGAACAGCCAGATACTGAGGGCCTTGCAGGAGTCTCTGGCCAGTGAACTCGCTGCAAGAATGAGTGCTATGAGCAGTGCAACGGACAATGCTTCAGATTTGAAGAAGAGGTTGTCCATTGTCTACAATAGGGAGCGCCAGGCTAAGATCACTGGTGAAATTCTGGAAATCGTGGCTGGTGCAAATGCCTTACAATAGTGCAATTTGTAGGTATTCTTATCATTATCATTATTATATAATGTGTTTCTAAGACTAAAGCGGAAACGTTTTTTTGTGTTGTATTTATTATTATCCTTCTGAACTATGTATGTAATGAATTAATGATACGATCTATATATAAAGATTCAGTGAGTTCATGGACATGTTATGAAGTGGTGTTTCACATACTTTTTGCAAAATGTTCCACTGCAATGTGGTGATTGTGTTTGATTCTGCGAGGACATATATTATAACGGGATGTATAAACTAATAAGGTTGCCTCTGAACCATGGGGCTCCTCAATAGATAGCTGTTAATAAAATATTATATCACCCAATCCTGATTCGTGAATTGAAACTGAGTACTAAGCAGAATGGCACATAACATCGTATAGATGAAAACGGCACACAGAGAAAGATAAGCCATCAGTGTTAGCTGAACTTTGGCATTGGATATCTACATCACACTTTTACCACAATACTGAATCTTGATAGTTTTCCCTCAGTTTTTAGAAAGTGAGAAAGTAACTTCTTATACCAATTCTGCTAAAAATGTAGCAGTGCATGCATGTAATTTATCTTGTGCTAACATGTTATAATAAACATTCTATTCTCATGCTTCCTTGCAATGAAGTTATGCCCGCTGAAAATGTTTTTGGAATTTCGATTGGTTGACCAGCATATGTAGCTTAGAAAATGCACAAAAGATGATGCAATTTAAAAGGCCATCTTATATTCGTTAGGTTCTGGTTTGATCTCAGGAGATAAGCACCTAATGCATTAGAGTGAAGAAATTGTTCTGGAGCTTCTCAAAGGAGGTCAACGTACCCTTTTATGTCTGGTCTTCTCCTCAACTTGGTTCTGATTTCTAAAGCAGAAAAGTTCATTGTTCTTATGATGGAGCTGTAGGGAAAAGGAATACGAGTACAGAGAACACCGAGTCTGAACAAATTACTTGCAAAAAAATGACATGCAATTTGTATTTGTATAATAAATCATGTGAAAAGTAATATAAACCCTTTGCCATCCATGTATTTGACATTCGAATTTGTGGTGACATTATATAAGCAGAAACTTCTGAAATGCTCAGACCAAATTGATCACTGTTTTGTTGAATATCATTGGAATGAACACTTCTAAATACAGCAAATCGAAGCTTTCATTGCAACATAAAAGAGTTTGATACCTCAGACATCTTTAGCACACTTCACACTCATTTTATGTTTACTGTAGTTTGTCAATTTGAACCCACAATTCTTATTGGTCCAGGTATTATTTTAATCAAACATGTATTCAGTTTGTATATGGATTGGATGTGTATTCTTCATACTCCTCTTAAATACCTTCATCGCTTATATACTTGTTGCTTTACTCAATCTTTCTTCAAATTCTTGAACGAATGTAGCTGCGGGCAATTTTTCCATTATCTTTTGTTTCTGGGCGTGAAACAAGACTTTCTTTTGGGATTTTTTGTCTTCTTGTTTTGTTGAATATCATTGCGCATGCACTTCATTATGAAATAATTTCAAACCACATTTAGAGACTAGAGCTTTTTGTTGGACAAGGAAATACCTTAATGTTGTGATGTATAATTGGAGGAAGAAACGAAAAAGAGAGTAGGATCAACACTAGGATTGTTTGATTGCTGTTCTTTCTTTCTTTCTTTCTTTTATGTTGAAGAATGAAAGAAATGGGAAATTGAAGATAAGGATCATTAGAAGGATTTGAGTTTAGAGAACATGATAAAAGTGGTCGAGACGTTTCAAAAACAGATAATGTTTCTTAAATTCGCCACAAGATTCACAGTTTCGTGTTGGATTCATCCAAAAGAGTTTTTAGTCGATGGAAAAAAGTAGAAAGAGATCTTTTACCTTAACTCATGAATATCAAACCTTCTAAAACTGTTGCTTCTACTGAATCCTTTTTGAAGATCTATTCAAAGCTCTCTTGCACTATCAATGCAGTGGATGCTCTATGAAATTTGATAAGAAGAAATGTGAATGATATAAAAACGACCAAGTTACATTTCTTCCAATAATCAAATAAAGAATTGTTTTGTAAAGGTTGAAAGTTTTTTTTTATACCATTGGTAATTTTATTCTTAAAAGACTATGTTTACGACTCTACTCTACTTGTGGCGGAATGTAATTTTAATTTTATTTTTAAGATTAAATAAACATATTTTGTCTAAAAGACTAAATATGTTTATGATTTTACTCCACTTGTGGTTGAAGGTAATTTTAATTTTATTCTTAAGACTAATATTTAGTCTTAAAAGATTAATATGTTTTTGACTAAATAATTTAAAATATTATTTTTGGCTCAATTTTTATTTTTTATTGTAGCTTAAGGTCTAAGGAAAATAGTGAGACAAATAACTTAAAACATTACGCTTAAAGGAGTTAGAATGAGAAGTAAATGTATTGAGGTAATTATGTTACAATTTTCAAATGATACTTTTTTTATGAGACAAAAACAAAGAAAGTTTTAGTGTTAATTTTTCTAAAAGCAAAATAGGTGGATTAGAGATCCGGGAGAGTACTGTGGTAACATTTTTCTGAAATATTAAATTGTAATATCATGCATATTTCTTTTAGATATTTAAGTTTGTCTATAGGAGATAATCTATAAAGAGGAGATTAAAAAGGAAAATGTTTAACTTTTGGTAGAAGAATTTGTTTGATAAATTCAATTTTAGTTGTGTATTATACAAAGAGGAGATTAAAAAGGAAAATGTTTAACTTTTGGTAGAAGAATTTGTTTGATAAATTCAATTTTAGTTGTGCATTATCATATTATATCTATCTTTCTTCAACCTCAAAGGGTTTATCGAGGAAGATGTTTTATGTGAATTATACAAATATCAATCTCATACGAGCCAACTATATAAGAGATCAACACCACTCTCTATCCAAAACTTTAAGGTAATGGATTAATGTGTTTTTCACCTTTATATACTGTTCTACTCTCTCATTTCTATATCATGTGCGGCTTGGACTCACACTTAGATTTTCAACAAACTTAGATTTTCAACAAAGGAAAGTGAAGATAGAAATTTTGTTTGGGTTAAAAAGACATTAAATCATTCAATAATGTCTTATTGAGAAAACTAAAAAAACTAGGAAAGCTAGGATGGATGTTAGGAGTGAAAAAAAGGTAAAAAGGATGTATATAGTCAAATATGAGAGAAAGAAGAATTTAATGGGATAGACAGGTAAGCATGGAAGATATTAAATACATCACACCAAGCATAATCCTGTTGGGTTTTTTTATAAGAATATTGATGTGATATAAATAGGAAACAATGTAGCTATAATAATGTCACATGTAAGGCGTGAATATCACATAAGACGTGAATATCACATAAGAATCAAATGTTAATATAAGTATTAGATATGTTTTATATTCAATTTAGTTTTATATTTATTTTTTTAATTTAATTAAATTATAGTTTTGTTTAAAATCGAATAATGTTATTTTTTTGTCCAAAATACACTACTTATTCAATTTATTCAAATCAATCAAGTAATAACTTTGAATTTAATTAAATTACAAAACATGTGTTTATTTTATGAAAAATTATAAAAAAATATTACTTATTTTATAAAATTAATTTAAATTGAGAAATTAAGTTAAAAGATGTAAAATATGTTAATAGTTTAGTTTAAATTTCATGTGAATATTAATTTTTTCTTTACATAGGAATTCAGTTTATAAATAAGCTAATAAAGAAAAATACATTTTTTTTCAAATATTAAAAATTTAAAAATTACAAAATCTTGGTCGTGGGATAAGACAAGACCAACACAACATTTTTATCAAAATTAAAAAACAATTTTTAAAATAGATATTTTTTAATTTAAATTTTAAAAATAAAATTTAATTTCAATATTTAGATAAATTAATTTGATGTATATATCCTAAAAAAATATTTTAACATGAATATATTAAACTTTTTTATTAATTTAGTTTCATTAGAAAATGACAATATTGTTTGATTTCAAACAAAATTAAAATTTAATTGAGTTAACACATAAATATAAAAAATGAATTAAATATACAAACTTAATAAACTGTTGTTGACATATAAAACGATATTGATCTTAACACGTGAAAAGAATTTTAAAAGAAAGAACTAAAATTACTACTAACAAACATCCGAAGATGATGTTAAGATTAATTCAATACCGTTTATACAAATTTAATGAAAATGAATAAATTAAATTAATGAAACGTAAAATAAAATTTAATTTAAAAAATATTAGGACCAAAATAAAATACCAGAATTGAAAAAAAAGAGTAATTAAACCAAAAATTTAATATAGGATTCAGTCGATTTAGAATACAGGAATAAAATGAGATGCAGTGTTTTTTTATTAGCAGTGTACTCATCTGACTCGTTAATCTAATGTACTCATCACACCTATGACAATGTTGCTTCCTATTACAAGGACACATGGATAGATAAATTTAGATATTGGACCGTTGATTTTATATCAAATTGAAAAGGAAAAGAATCTTATAAGGATTATACGTAGAATGACACATGGATTATATATATATAATTGCTAACTCCCTCACATAAATAGAGTCATACTTTTGAATATAAAGTAAATTATATGTTAAAATAAGTTAGAAAAGAGTATAATGATAAAAGATGTTCTTCCATTTTAGCAATAGTTAACACTTATCATTTATCATTATTTAATATTTTTTACGAGACTGTGTATCCCACACCAATCAATCATCATTATTTAATATTTTTTCGCCTATATAAAAATGCATGATGTTAAGTTATCATCCTTATCTGCAAACTTTTAAGATTGTTAAATTAGAATAATTACTTTATTAATTTAATTTTTTTTAACATTATGAAAAAGTAATAATTTAATTTTTTATTATTATGAAAAAAAGTAGNTGGCTCAATTTTTATTTTTTATTGTAGCTTAAGGTCTAAGGAAAATAGTGAGACAAATAACTTAAAACATTACGCTTAAAGGAGTTAGAATGAGAAGTAAATGTATTGAGGTAATTATGTTACAATTTTCAAATGATACTTTTTTTATGAGACAAAAACAAAGAAAGTTTTAGTGTTAATTTTTCTAAAAGCAAAATAGGTGGATTAGAGATCCGGGAGAGTACTGTGGTAACATTTTTCTGAAATATTAAATTGTAATATCATGCATATTTCTTTTAGATATTTAAGTTTGTCTATAGGAGATAATCTATAAAGAGGAGATTAAAAAGGAAAATGTTTAACTTTTGGTAGAAGAATTTGTTTGATAAATTCAATTTTAGTTGTGTATTATACAAAGAGGAGATTAAAAAGGAAAATGTTTAACTTTTGGTAGAAGAATTTGTTTGATAAATTCAATTTTAGTTGTGCATTATCATATTATATCTATCTTTCTTCAACCTCAAAGGGTTTATCGAGGAAGATGTTTTATGTGAATTATACAAATATCAATCTCATACGAGCCAACTATATAAGAGATCAACACCACTCTCTATCCAAAACTTTAAGGTAATGGATTAATGTGTTTTTCACCTTTATATACTGTTCTACTCTCTCATTTCTATATCATGTGCGGCTTGGACTCACACTTAGATTTTCAACAAACTTAGATTTTCAACAAAGGAAAGTGAAGATAGAAATTTTGTTTGGGTTAAAAAGACATTAAATCATTCAATAATGTCTTATTGAGAAAACTAAAAAAACTAGGAAAGCTAGGATGGATGTTAGGAGTGAAAAAAAGGTAAAAAGGATGTATATAGTCAAATATGAGAGAAAGAAGAATTTAATGGGATAGACAGGTAAGCATGGAAGATATTAAATACATCACACCAAGCATAATCCTGTTGGGTTTTTTTATAAGAATATTGATGTGATATAAATAGGAAACAATGTAGCTATAATAATGTCACATGTAAGGCGTGAATATCACATAAGACGTGAATATCACATAAGAATCAAATGTTAATATAAGTATTAGATATGTTTTATATTCAATTTAGTTTTATATTTATTTTTTTAATTTAATTAAATT